AGGCTTGTTACTAGCTAACTCTTACACTTAAATTAACCCATATTTCTTATCTATGCTTTGCCACATGGCTCATGTCATGTTACCTCATGTTCTATATGTCCTGCTTCCTCTGCAGCTGGCTGGCATCTCTCCTGACTCCATCCTTCCTCTTCCCAGAGTCCTCTGTGCCTAGCTGTCCCACCTATACTTCCTGCCTGGTTACTGGCCTGTCAGCTTTTTATTAACCAATGAAACTAATACATATTCACAGTGTACAGAAAGATTATTCCACAGAACTGTCCTAAAGCATAAACATGCAAGAGTCTTTCAACTGCTGAAGTAGTACACTAATATAATGGGATAGTAGTCAGAAATTAATATTAACATACATATGGTATACTGTAGCACATATGATCCTTGAAAATATGTCAAGTTAATGAAACCATGAAGAAAGTCCAGCATACATCTGATGTACAGAACGTTAAGCAAAATCAGATCCACAGATCCAGAAGGATTGCTGAATGGGGTTACCAGTTTAAATAGAAAAAGACTAATACTTAGTAGGTTTTATTCTCAATTTCATTTTCTAAAAGCAAATTTTATGTATTTGAATTTCTTTCTCAATGAAACAGTGTCAAACAGAAAAGTGGTAGCATATGTTAAAAATATTCACCTTTGGGGGCCAAGCATGTTTGAAATACCATCTCTTTCAGAGAAGCATGTGAGGGTTTGGCAATATATCTGAAATTTTATAAGGAAATATGGTATTAGGGGTCACTTACTCTGCAGTGTCACACATGTAGCAGGTGCCAGGATCTGGGTCTTTCTTCTTGCATTTTCTCCAGTCTGTGGTCCAGTGAGTGAGCATATCTGAGTTCTGGTTTGCTATGCTTCTGCTGTGGAAAGGGTGAATTCATGAATAAGGCTGGCAGAGGGGAGAAAGAATGGGGGGACTGTTCATGAGGACAGAATTTCTGCCTGGCCCCATTGGAACTATGATTCCTGGCAAACTAAACTGAAAATTGCAGAAAACATCAATTTTCTCATCTCACAGTGCATTATTAACTGATAATGTCAAATCTGGTCTGTCTGTGGCATTCTCATCTGGCACACTGAATGGGATTGCTCCTAGCTGAGGAAATGCTTCTTCTATGTCTATAAGGTAAGATTAGAATCCAGAGGCTGAGGATGAGGCATGCAAAGGTATGCCTTTCTCCTCAAAACATCATCATCATCAACCTGATAGTTTTTGGGGAAAGGCACACATTTGTATGGAATTACATTTTTTCCCCTGAAATTTGAGTCAACAAAGGTCTTTATTTCCACAAAACAGTTTAGAAAAAGTAGGAAATACTATTAACTTTTAGATATAAGAATTATTTTCAGAGTCATGATTATTAAAGTTGAATTGACTTTTAGATCATTATATATGCAAGGGGTGGGTATATTTGTATATTTTTCCAATTATAAGGAAATTTGAGATGGAATCCTTTTAAGAGACAAACTAGCTTCATCCATTGATAGTGATTATCTGCACAGAACATCTCAGAACATGGCACTTATTCTCTTTGAGTCTCATTTTCCTAAAAGAATCCCTGTGAACTAGCCCTGCAGATCCTTTCCAGCTCTTTGATTATGTGACACTGTCACCAGCAAGCAGAGGCACACCTGCTATGCTACAGAGAGTTCCAGGGAATCATTAATGATTATTCATGGTGAGGGAAGCTGGGGTAACACCGACTCTGAAAGCTGATCCTCTTTTACTGCAGAAGTGCACTCTTGTGTTACAGTGTTTTTGTACATGAGAAATGCCGCCTGCCGGTCCTTGAAGGTCTCTGAGCACATTCTAGAGATCTACTCTAAAACATTTTATATATACTTAAAAACACAGCACTGTGCACTTAACAATCAAGAAGGTAGATCTTATTAACTGCTGATAACATAAAAAAAAATAAGACTAAGACCTAAACAAACAAATGGACACCTGGAAACCTGTGGAGATGAGAGATGAAGGTATCTCAATTTGTCGAGATGGTTTCCTGTGTGTGTGTGTGTGTGTGTATGTAAAACCTCATCAAATTGAAAATTTTATAGCACTCATATCCTGATGAAACTGTTTATGAAAAGCATTCTTTCATTATGACCCCATTCTTTTCATTATGATCCTTGTCTCGTGGGTCCTGAATTTGGAGGAGCTGAAAGAACAAGCAAGCAGCAAGCAGTACTGGAAAACATTGAAGAAAATTTCTAGGAGCTTATCATTTTTGTTGATAGAATTACTCTAGACCAATTTTGCCTTAATTATTGCTTATAATTCTCAGAGTTTCTGAATGAACCTGCAGTGAGTAATGACAAACTAAAGAGACTGAGTTTTGAACCTTACGACTACTTAGGAGACTTCAGAGTCTTTCTGTCCCTGTGATCACATTTTATAGTTAAAAGAATAAAATTTCTAAGGGTAATACACTTTCAGTGAAACTTTTTGAGGAAATAAAAAAAATACTAAAGAGAAAATATCAACACATGAATTCTTAGCTGAGTATGGTAGCATGTGCCTGACATCTTACCACAGGGAGACTGAGGCAGGAGAACTGTGAGTAAGAGGAGACACTATATCCCCAAATCCCTCCAAAAACCATGCTAATACTTGAGCTTGCAGAGATATTCTAATGCAGAGGGCACTGAGTTAATCTGAGTGTGTATTTTCATTCAGAATAATGTAATCTCTTCCTTCCTTCCTTCCTTCCTTCCTTCCTTCCTTCCTTCCTTCCTTCCTTCCTTCCTTCCTTCCTTTCTTCTTTTTTCTTTCTCTTTCTAAACGAGGTTATGGCTAGCCTGTGCAACTTAGTCAGACCCTATCTCAAAATGAACAGTTTAAAAAAGAAAAAAATAAGGCTTGTCTAGCATTTTCAAGTCTCTAGGGGTAATTGCCAGCACCATTAAGACAAAAGAAAACAAAACCAGAAATCTACCACCACCAAGAGAAGGAAACCTCCTAACCTCTCCAGAGTGTGGAATGAGAATAATGTGTCTGAAGCTTTTTTTTCCCCCTCTAACTTTATAAAAATTGATACGTGGAAAGCATTGTAAACTATTAACTATCAAACCACTGTTATAAGACTCAAAATTCCGCATACTAAAGAAACCAACAAAAACCCCTTTCATTGAGGAATTGAAAATCTGTACATTTAGAATATTTGAAGGCTAAATTTCAGACATCTGGATAAAATTAAACCCCATGATTTTAACAATAATACAACAAATCTCTAGATAGTTTGATCAAAACATTTACTTCTGTATTGATGACCCAAATGTGGATAGCTCTGACAAGACTCTGGGTAGTAATAAATATGTTTTTTCTTACTTTGGGCTCTAGATTTACCTGTTAAGCCTAAATCTAAGTGTGTGAATTCAGTAGCTGTGAGAAGTGCTGAAAATGATGGGCTGTGTGGCTGAGTGGAAGCTGTGGAGTAAAAGATTTTCAATTACTGAAAAACTTATCAGTTCAGACAGATACATCTTATTACCTTGTTCCTAGGTGTCCATACTAGAAATGACCTTTTAATTGACTTTTTTTGTACTATTTGAATCTAGCAGATATTGATGGGAAATGTTTTGCCAAAAAGGTAATGTGAAGTAACTCGGAGGAAATAATGTCAAAAAGGTTCTACGTTCTGAGAGAAACATCTTGACAGCTGATATAGTATGTGCTACCGCCTGTTTCTTCTGTGCTCTGTGCTTGGTGTAGTTTATGATTCTGAGTTGCTAAGTAGGGAAGATTAAAAGTTCTTGTGTATGCCTGCATAATATACAAATTGTTTAGTCGTAGCCTATGGAAATAGAATTACTGTACAAATGATCAAAGCTACATATAAGCAAGGGTATCTGTAAGAACAGAATAGTAGGAAATCTGGAGCTATTGTCTTAAGTGCTTAGCAGGATGTTTCCACCACATCTGATGCACTTTCTCAGATTTTTTTTTTCTTGGCCTCATAAATGTGTCTCTCTCAGATTTTCCTCTACCTCAGCTCCTGGGGACAGACCATTCCAGGCAGAGAAAAAGAAATAGCAGATTCTCAAGGTGCAAGCAAGTCCAGCAGATGTCAGCATGTGGAAAAGGGCTCCTATCAAGCAATTGGAGTAATCAAGGGCAGACACAGTCAGGACAAAGTCAGGCAGGCAGACAAGACCTTGTCTGGATCCTATTATCAGAGCGAAGCAATCACTTGTGTGTTTTAATCTAAGGGGCACCTGATCTGATTTGCCTTTTGAAGGCTGATTCTGGCTGCTGCATTAAGGTGGGCTTTGGGGAATGCATAAAAATAGGATACCTGGAAAGAGGTTATCTGTGGGGGAAAATATGGCAATGCTTTAGTCAGGTGTGAGTTATCGAGACATCATAAGGGACAGTCTTGTTAATAGTGACTGTCTTAGTGAAGGTTTCTATTGTTGTGATAAATACCAGTAAGGAAAAGCAGGGCAGGAGCTCAAGACAGAAATCTGGAGTCAGAAACTGAAGCAGAGCCATGGAGAGATGCTGTTTACTGGCTATGGCTTGTTCAGTAGGTTTCCACATGTGTGTGTGTGTGTGTGTGTGTGTGTGTGTGTGTGTGTGTGTGTGTGTGTGCAAGTGCCCACAGGACCAGAAAAAAGTTGAGGATCCTCTGGAGCTAGAGCTGGGGGGTAGTTTGTGAGCCTCCTAGTGTGGGTGCTGGGAACTGAACTCAGGTCCTCCAGAAGAGCCAAAAAGCTTAGCAACTAAACTATCTCTCAAATCTCTTAACTTACATTTTTTAAATTGACTTACAAAGTTATAAGGTTCTGTATGGATTTTTCATGCAATTTTCCTTTGGTTAACCCTTCCTTTCCCCCCTTACCTCCCTGCCCCCCACAGTTAGCCCTGCTTAAACTTTCCACACCCCAAATACTCTCTGTTTTCATATTACCTCCATCGTACTATCACCTTTCACTTCAGGTATCCACACTCAATGGCTTTTTTTATATTTCCTTTCTTCCTACAGGTAGGTACCACAGGTTGAACACAAAAATCTGAAGATTTGAAGAGAGTATCCATACATGATTAGTGAAACATGGTATTTATCTTTTTCCGTGTCTGGGTTACCACACTCAATATCATTTCTTTTTGTTGCTGTTGTTGTTTCTACTTGAAAATTTGTTTAATTTTTCTTCATAGCTGTTTTGATTGATTATCTATTGTTTAAATAGGGTTATTTATTTTCTTTTTTTATTTTATAATTAATTTAATTTTACATATCAGCCATGGATTCCCCTGTCCTCCCTCCTCCCACCCCCCAGCCTTCTCCCTCAATCCTCCCCCCATTCCCACCTCCCCCAACGCAAGGTCTTCCCTGGGGATTCAGCTCGGCCTGGTAGATTCAGTTGAGGCAGGTCCAGATGATTAGTTCTTTGAGCTCTTTTGTTTTCTAGATATTAATCCTCTATTGCAAGTATGGTCTGGCAAAGATTTTCTTCAGTTTTATAGGCTGCCTCTTAATCTGAGTGACAGTTTTCTTTGCTGTACAGAAACCTTTGAATTTCATGAGATCCTATGTGTCAATTGTTAGTCTTATTTCCTTAGCTACTAGAGTCCTATTCAGAAAGTCTTTGCCTTTGCCTATATACTAAATGTCCTCCCTACTCTTTTCTTTAACAGTTTCAACGTATTGAGTCTTGTGTTGAAGTCCTCAACGAATTTTCAGTTGAATGGTGTTCATGGTGAGAGATGAAGGTAGAGTTTTATTTTACTACATATTCATATCCATTTTCCCAGCATGATTTGGGTGAGCTAGTCAAGGCAGTGCTGGAGAGCTCATTCAGGTAGGTAGTGAAGATAAAGGAAACCTGGTGGGCTGACCAACCCAGTTACCACCCAGACCCAGAACCAGGGCTGTGAGTTGACCCACCCCAACATCCACCACATTTATGAACTGTTGCAGCATGAGAAGTGGACCGACCTACAGATCCAAAACAGCAGGATCTCCGTGACATAGGACAACAACAGGATATACAAAAGGAGCCCCAGTGAGAGCTTATTATCAGTGGTGTAGCAAAAAAAACCAGAGGCCTCGTGCCAGACCAATGACTCATGGCAATGAACACTTGCAAGGGAAGATGAGTGGCCACTGATCCTTCATAAAGTAGTTCTCCAAACTCTCAGCCTGGCCTTTCAGCTGGTTTTAGGTAGTGAGGGGTTGTGAGCTTGCAAAGTTGTCATAGTAGACTGTATTAATATATGTTTTATTTTTTTTTTGTGTGTGTTTTGCCTGTTTGTCAGCATGAATTGTTTCCTCCAGTTTCTATCTCTCCCATTTTCCATACTTGTATGTGAGTCTTCCTGGTAAGTTGTTTTCACTTGGAATTTATTTTCTACAATAGTATTTAGGAGGAAAGCCAACTGCAATATCAGAGTGATTTGGGAGGAGTTTTCTTGTCATGTTGTGGTTGGAGATGACAGATGGACTCCACTGCTAGAAGATGAAAATAGTAGAGAAAATATTATAGAGTAGGTACAAAAAAACCCCATGCACGTACAAGCTTTTTCTAGTGCAATATAAGCCAAAACACAGCCAAGCAAATGATGTACAAAAATGCAAAGAAAATAAACAGGAAATAAAGATAGAAGCATCTAGATCCTGAATCACTATTTTCCCAGTGCTTTTGAATGAAATATTTTCTGAAGTTGCTGCTTTCTCTTATAGACCTTAGGTTTCAAATCTAGAAATAATCAAATATACCAATGATAAAATTTAGTTGATTCCTTTGTTTGGGAATTGTAAGCTCTTGTCACATCTGAAGGTAATACCTTTAAATCCTGAGATCTGTAGCACCATACATGACTGATCAGTCCCTTGGAGGGAGGTTAAAATGAATGTGAAATTTGAGTCATTTAAGTGGCATGTTTGGAGATCTTCATAAATATTGTAGTCTAAGAATAATCACATTTTTTTTCTGGTTGGAGCACACATGGAAATTCTTCAACAACGTTGATTCTATTTACCAAATTTAGCTCTAAATAAATAGCTGCAGAATGCTTTTTCTGTTTAAGTTTCATATGGGTATCATATTTAATTGCCCCATTATCTTTTAATGGTACCTTTGCAAAATAGAGTCTGCTTTACTGGCAAAAAACAAGTGGACATGATTAGAAAATATTTACCAAGTAGTCTTTTTATTTTCTTTTAGAAAATAACAAAACTGTGAAAAATATTATCTTTGACTAATGTAAATGGAAATCTCACTTACAATAAAGTGAACTCGGTACACATGGATATGTACACATAAAATCCACTTGTGTACCCCTTGTTCATACAAGCACATGATATTCAGTCATAACATGAGCTGGCAGAATTAAGCACGATATAGCTATTAGTTTTGTAGCTATTGTAAAATACTATTAGCTTTAATTAAGTAACAACAATGAAATTAATTGGTTTTCTGTAGTTCATAAATCATGCAAATATTATAAAGTTTTTTGTCTAATTAAGGCCATGACACATGCTATTTTTAAGGTTGAAAAGTAACAATTTGAATATAATAATGGAATGGATGTTATATATATTTTTATTATGACTTAATCATAAATGAATAGAGTACTTTGTTGTCTTGAGTTAACTTTTTGTTAACACATGCATTTTATTTAGTTGACAAAGCTATTTGAAAACAGAATGACAAACAGAGCTGTTTAGATATATAACTAAAGGTCCTTGCACTGCCCCTAAGGGAGTGGCATGAGTTTTCTGCTAGGTAGATAGACATTTTTAACAAAACACCTTGAGAGACCTCCTTATGTTAGAAAGAAGGAGGCCTTCAGGGTCTGCTTTGAAAGAGACTGATAACAGGGCTGTTCAGTATTAGAAATAAATGGTTATTTGAAGTTGAAAGTGAACCCAGTAGAGAAAAATGCCACAGAAACAAAGGCAAGTTTGGGATGGCATAAAAATGCCAAGAGTGAGAAATGCATAGAAGTGGAGGGATGGGAGGAGGAGCAATGAGAGGACCATACATGCCGCTAGGGTGGTTTCTTACCAGGCATGTGATCATCAACATCTTGTTTATCACACACAGTTTTTGTGTGACACACACACATATCTATCATCTATCTACCTATCTATCTATCTATCTATCTATCTATCTATCTATCTATCTATCTATCTATCTATCTATCTGTCATCTACCTATCATCTATCTATCTAGCTATCATCTATCTACATATATATCTATGTATCCATCTATTTACACACACATTATGCACACACGTATTCAAAAGTGTTTTTGCAAAATCTAAGTAAAAAGATATGTGCCAGATGGTGTTGAACAGAAAGTAAAAAAAAAAAAAATAACTAAGTTGGGTCAAAACTGAATATTAAGAATTTATCAAGAGAGGAGGGTAAAGTTAGAGGGGCAAGATACAAGCTTCTAGTTTTCAGCTAAATTCTGCCTTAGGAGATTTGATTTCTTCCTAACTTGAGACAATAGTTAGAGGAACTCAAAGCAGTCCAGAGTCTCAGCTGACTAGTCGGGATATTCTACTGGCTTTTGACTCTCCACACAAAAGGCATTTGACTCATATTGAGAAATGATAACCAAGTGCAGCAGGCTTTGTTCTGATTCATAGTGGAGTCAATTTGGCATTTCTGGGCTCCTTGGAGTTTTGTCTGTGAAACATTTCAAATATTTTAAAAGTCTAACAAAAATGAACAGCTTCTGAAAAGGTGACATGAGCTAACTAATCTGTCAAATATCTCCTCTGGAATAGAATTGTATCCACTCAGGTGATAATTCTGTAATAGTATCTCTTGCCTTGCAGAAGCTCTGATTAGCAGTTAGATGTCTTTGATGGAAAAAGACAGAGAAAACAATTATTAAAGATTTAAATTTCCATCTCAATTCTTTCCTGCTAGGTTTAAGCAAACTTTCTCGGAAGGCACACGTGGCTCTAACTGTGACTATGATGGCAGAATTTCAGGGAGTTTGTGGGTCTGTTGAGCGAGCTTGTGAGGGTGCCAGATTAGCCCCAAAGGATCTCCAGGTCTGGCATTGCCTGCTCAGTTCCTAGAAGATGAGATGTGGAGCAGCCTTCTGCAATTGAACCCACCAGGCTGCACTCTGGAGGAGGATCAGTCTAAATCTGAGATTTTCCCCAAACCTCCCCCAGACTTCTCATCCAGGAGGTTTGTCTAGTGTGTGGTGTCTTTCTGTCAGCCTTTGTGCCTTTTTCTTCATTGACTTTTTTTTTTTTGGGTACTTTTAATGATTGAAAATAGAGATAAGAATCCAACTTCTTGATTGTTTTTTAAGTAAAAATATTTGTTCAGTTACTTAGAATAGAAAAAAAAATAGTTCAAAGGGGAGTTGTTTATCTACAGAAGATATTTGGTTTCCACTTCTAGCAACCGTTTTAAAATTTTATATGAAATTTATTTTAATAGCTATACAAATTATGAAAACTGTACATAGTTAGGGTTTATGATGTGATATATGTTTAATTGTACAATATTTAAATTACACTAAATGTATCCATCCCCTCAGTTATTTATCATTGAGGGCAAAATGTTCAAAATCCTACTTTCTAAGCTTTTAAAAACATATAGCATGTTATTATTATTACCTATAGTTATTGAATCATCCAGTAATGCGACCGACCTTTTTGCTCATATCTGGCATCACTCAGTGGTATTTTGAGTATCACAAAATGTTAGTATTATATTTTAAATCACAAATGACATAGCATTTTGGGTCCTGCATACTCCAAAGCATTAGTTATGATCCTGGTCCTTGAAGTCCACCGCTGGGTTTGCATCCTTTCTTACTCCTTATTAAATACACTGTTTTTAATGAGTCAGTTCATCTCTCTGAGGCTGTTATTTCATTGCCTACCACCTAATAATGTCTTCATAGTAATTATTTGTAATTACAGTATTATTTTATTATATGGTGTCTTATTTCAAAACCAATTTATTCTACAAAAATAATAGGCTAACTCTATGCCATCAATTATTTTGGTAGGTTTACTTTGTGTTGTATTGCAATGTGAGAATAGCAGGATTAATTTTTCATTTTTTAATTGCTTGTATAAACTAGAATGGAAACTTTTCAGTCATAGAAAAAAAACAGTGAATGTTTACAAGTGAGGAGCAAAAGAAAATTTAATTATGATACATAATTTACCCTAACCCACATGAATTACTGTTTTTTTTTTTTTTTTTAATTTAACGACCATAGGAAAGAACAGACTTTGATTAACAGCTGAGTTCCACGTTTCACTTCAAATTAAATGCTGGAAGAAGCTCATGACCCCAAGTGAGATAAACCTCACCTGTGCTGCGATGGTGCTGAGAACATGCATGGTTTTCTGTGCTGCCCAAAGTGCTGAGTGGAGGCTGCCCAAAGACAGTGATGGACACAGGAGAGCACTTCAGCTACTCAGTGTCATTGAATTTCTGGAGGACAAGAGGGCAGCTGCGCTTGTTTGTGAACAAGGCTGGAGGTAGAATGATCTTGTTTGGCCCAGACAAGTACATAAATGTGAACAATGGAAAAAAGGGAAATACATTGAAGAGTTCCATAGTTCTGAGAAAGGATAATATATTGTGACCCTTCAGTGTGAGAGGCAAAACAATCGATTGGAAGCCTTTCCTAGTAGAATTGATAAAATTTCTCTGGTTTTTATCCACAAGCCTTCCAAATGTCACAAAACATTAATTTGATTATATTTTTTTAAAACTGAAATTGCAACGGGTGGTGACTGAAATGTTCCCTTCTAGAGTCTGGTAAGTTTGCCCCTTTAAAGTAGTGTCAAACCTACAATGGGTAGCTTATAATTTTTCTGTTTTGTGATTGTGCGAAAATAATACATTTTCAGTTGCAAAGGTATTTCAAAATTTGAATAGAGCTCCTTTCCTAGGCTGCTAATATAAGTATGATAATGTTCTGCAGCTGCATACCTGTGAGGAGAATCAACCAGAGCTTTACAGAGTATTGGGTACTGAGTTATGATGTTTGGTAGGTGTGCTCAAGGGACTTCAGACTCTCAATATTTTTAATTTACATGGCTTATCAAGACGTAATCTCATCTTAAGTGGAAAATCATCTTTACACATCACCATTTTAATTCCTTACTATCCTTATTTCCTTTTTATTGGTCTGCCTCTTAAGGCAAAATGTTTTGTATATTTTCATAGCCCTTCCATTACCTGTCCCTTGTTTTATTACTCAACAATTACTTCGTTTTATATATTAAGTTTATGATATATACACCTCAGATACCACTGCATATTCAAATTAATATGTGTGAATTACTGCTCCAGTTTAAGTGTTAGGAACTAAAGGTAAGAAAACTTAATAATATTTTGTGATAAAAGCTTTTTAGTCGCCGGGCGGTGGTGGCGCACGCCTTTAATCCCAGCACTCGGGAGGCAGAGCCAGGCGGATCTCTGTGAGTTCGAGGCCAGCCTGGGCTACCAAGTGAGTTCCAGGACAGGCGCAAAGCTACACAGAGAAACCCTGTCTCGAAAAACCAAAAAAAAAAAAAAAAAAAAAAAGCTTTTTAGTCATGAGGATAATATATTCTAGAAGCAAAATGAACTAACGCTTGAAGTTCCATGAAGTTTACAAAAAATGTTTTTGGAAGGTGCATTTTGGAATAGAAGTTGCAAGGGTTTTTTAGGTGTGGGGTGCTATACCGGGAGACCTGGTAATAATTGTGTGTGTTTAGACTATGGAATGTATGTTGGCATTTTGGGCAGCTAAGGCTGCATAAGTAGGTATTTTAATGATTTTATCCCACTGGTTGGAGAGAGCAATGAGAGGTTTTTAAGCACGCAGTGGGCTGCCTCATTTTTTTTCATAGCTTTCCCCAGCATCCCTAAGTTAATTATTCCCAAAACCTTACCTGCAGTTCTGACTTGCTTGTTATGCATCATAATTATCTTGGAAATTGCTGACTTGTTAGTGTATACATTTCCTGCTGTCTCTCGAACAAGTCCACTTTAAACAAACTAGCTTTGTCCTTTGCATAGCCCCTCCATTTTTTCTTCACTCCCTTGTTTCATAATGGTGACATTTCTCCACATTAGTGTGGTTTAGAGATCTGGTGCCATCTTCCTAACTTATTTTTATTCAGTTTTCCCATCACAATGTGTTCTGCCAATCCTAGCAATTTTGTTCCCATGAACTTCACGTTTTTCTCAGACCTCATTCATCATCATTCCAACTTTTCAATGAACTAGGTGGTTTTTTTCCCCTTCACTTCTAATCTACCATAAAGAAAGGCACCAAAACTTTGTCCTCCAAAATGAACCTCATGACATATTTTCTACCCTTAAAAATCTTTAATGGTTTCTTACCTCTCATAGAATAGCATTTAGATTCCTTAGTGCCATTCAAATTAGATGATTGCCATCTGTTTTCATTGCCCATTTGAGCAATCTTCTTCAGAAATATTTCTTATCAGGACCCATCATTTGCAATGCTTCATTGATGCTTTAAACATTGTCTTCATTCATTATATATTGTTTTGTATTAAAATCAACTTCATTCTTTTAATGTTGTATGCTTGTCTTAGTTAGGGTTTCTATTGCTTCAATAAAACACCATAACCAAAAAGCAAGTTGGGAAGAAAAGGGTTTATTTGGCTTATACTTCCACATTGCTGTTCATCACTGAAGAAAGTCAGGACAGGAACTCAAACAGAGTCGGATCCTGGAGGCAGGAGCAGATGCAGAGGTCATGGAGGAATGCTGCTTACTGGCTTGCTTCCCCTGGCTGCTCAGCCTGCTTTCCTCTAGAACCCAGGACCACCAGCCCAGATATGGCACCATCTACCATGGGCTGAGCCCATCTCCATTGATCATTAATTGAAAAAACATGACTCACAGACAGATCTTAGGGAGGCATTTCCTCAACTGAGGCTCCTTCTTCTCTGATGAGTCTAGCTTGTGTCAAGTTGATACACAAAACCAGCCAGTACAGTGTTATTATCATAATGCAGTTTTAGTTACCTACTCCTTTCCTGAATGGAGGAGGGAAGGCAATTCTGGCTTAGCTGAGCTCTCCAGCTTAGTTGTATCCTAGGCTGCAGTCAAGGTGTCAATTTGGGACTGCAGTCCTTTCCAGATTTGTTTGGTAGAATTTGCTTCTGCATGCATAATTTTATAGTAAGATTCTATTCCTCCTAGGTTGCTTGGTGAGATCCCTGGTTTATCATTGCCTTGGCCTTTCTTCATCGATGTGATCAAGAGAGGCAGAGACAGGAAACAAAAGCCAGTCTTTGAAAGCCTAGTGTTAGAAATGCCATTTTATTAGTTTTACCATGTCCTGTTTGATAGAATTATGCTACTAAGTTCAAGCTTTGTTAAAGAAGAGTGCAGTATACGCAGGCTCTGATATTAGATTGCTGAATGTCACACAGAACACTCATGCTTTTACTACCTTCAGATACCATCTGCTTTCATTGAATTGAAGATCGGCATCCCAGTGTCTCAGTTACTTTTGCTTTTGCTGTGATAAAATATTCTGACAAAGGGAACTTAAGAGGAGAAGTTTATTTTGGCTCACAGTTCAAGGCATCCTGACAAGGAAGTCAAGACAGCAGGAACTTGAAGCTTCTGGTCACATCTTACCCACACTTAGGAAACAGAGGGGGATAAAGATGCAGGCTGCTGCTTAGTTACCTGCCGTCATTCATATAGTCCAGGATCCCAACCGGGGAAGAGTGTCATTCCCAGTGGATGGGTCTTCCTACCTCTGTTAATTTAATCAAAATAATCCCCACACATGCCAAGAAGAGCCTCTTCCATGGGATCCTAGATTTCACCGGGCGGTGATTAACACTAACCATCATGCCGAGGTTACAACTCAAACTGAGGATGACAATGATTCCACTGGTGGTGATGTCTAACACACGTCTGTAATTCTGCCATCCTGGAGGCCGAAGGTCATGAAGTTGCCGCTGGACTGAGATAGGTAACAAGGCTGTCTCAAAAGTAAAAGTTCATCAGTGTTCACTTTTGACTAAAATCACTTAATTTTATTATTTAATTGAAGTTTGTTTTGCAGTAAAAGTGAGGAAAAAGTTAAAAGTTACTGAGTGAACCCCTTTACAACATGTAGCAAAGAATATTACACCATTCTGGGGCAAATGTCAGACAGGATAAAGTGGTAAAGATTATTCCATGGTATCGATGTCTCCGAATTTTACTTGAAATTAACAATAAAAACATCTAACTTCCAATTCTGTTAATAGTTTTTAACTTAAACATTCTCTCATCCTCTCCCTCTCCTTCTTTCCCCCCTCCCTCCCTTCCTCCCTCCCTCTCTCTCTTCCTCCCTTCCTCCCTCTCTCTCTCTCTCCCCTTCCCTGTCATACCTCCTGCCCCCATGCATAAGTAGGTACATGTGTGCCTGTGTACATCAGAGGACAGCTTGTGGAAGTTGGTTCTATGACTGAACTCAGGTGATTAGGCTGGTATAGCGAATGCCTTTATATATAGCCACTCTGCCTACCTCTATTTCACATTTTTTAATTTTGTGTAGTTTGATGTTTCTTTAGATGCTTTAAATTTGCCAGATGTTATATTTGATGAGGCTTTCTCTGGTAAAGACATGAATTTGAATTTGTGTTAGCTACTTGTGTAGCTAAAGAAAGCAAAAACAAAAACAAAAATGAAGTGTTCTTTGGGGCTTACAGTTCTAGGGGATACAGTACACCATGGAGAGGAAAGTGTGGGGAAGGAGAATAAGGACAAATGTTGATGTTCAGCTTGCCTCCTACTTTTTATCAGGTCTAGGATCGCCTTCCACATTCAGAGTAAGTCTTCCTTTCTCAGCCTTAAATTGTCTGGAAACCCCTTACATACAACCTCCACATGTTTGTTTCTTAGGCAAGATTGATCCAATCAAACTGACAATTATGATCATCCATGCTGTACATGTTGATAGTTTTGAAGCTGAGCTATATTTATAAGCTTTAAAATTTCAGAAAGCATGTAAATTTTCTTTATATTGGTTTAATATAGTTATTTTTTCCTGTGGTCTTGATGAGCACAAAAGTATTTTGAGAAGTGTTACAGTCTCAACTTTCAAGGACTATTATTAAATTTCATTTACTTTCACTTTCTATTTTAGAAATTTTATACTTTGACACCAATGAATTACTTATAAGCTTTCTAATGATATAAACAGATTAAAATAGTGTAATATGAAAAAGAATAAATTATTTTAGAATAATTCTTAGTGTAGGTTAAGGTTTTATTCATTACTTAGGTCAAAATGACCTTGTTTTTATTTTTTGATGGGTGCATTATCTGATTTGAGATGTTTGAGACAGAATAAAGCTTAATTCCCAGGAGCAGTGAAATAATTGCACTTTGAATTTATAAAATTCCCTTCCTTCTAAGCTGACAATTGTGATGGAAAATTTGCATTTGAACCCAGCAAACATGTAAATTTTAAAGTTTGCTAAATGAATTAAGTTGGAAATTAAAAAGG